CCAACACATGTTCCTGTTATCGTCACCAATCAACTGCATAACGGTTATAAACGACTTTGACTACCACCACCGATTTCTGTATGCTAGCTATGCTAACCAGTTTATACGAACGGGAGTTAGCATTTAGCAGTCACTTCTTATAAACCTGAAAATTGACAATTTCTAAATGTTATACAGCGAAAAACAGCCAAATATTTCCAAATCAGACTTAAGTAACCACATTGTGGACCTGTTACAATACATAAATCATGACAGATTTGACAAATATCCACTTTGTTAGATCAGATTTGTTGAATGTGCGCCAATCTGGTCAATGCATCTATAGGACAGACAAGTATAGGGTGCGAGATGTGACTTACATTTTTCAGATGGGAAGAGAGCGAGAGAGGATGGAGGAGGAGGCTTGGCATCTTAGTGTTATGACATGCATTATCTTAATTAGGCCCACATAATTATACCTACGGAGGAGCAGCTTCTATGAAGGAACTTTGAATGTCTTTGAACTTCAGATTTGCTTAATGTTGGACCAGCTAGCTAGCTAACAAGCTTGTGTGTGCAGAGCGCCACCAGAAGTAAAATGACAAAACGTCTTACCTTTTAGAGTTAACAAATCCAATGTGAAACGTGATAACTATATAATCCTTAACTAGCATTGAAAAGGTTAATCCATTCTGTAATAAAATAAATATCTCTAATTTCTGAATCACGCTTGTAATGGCAGGTTGCCTACACACGCACACACACTGGCAAATATTTTTAGCTGGCAGGCAGACACTGGAATACGTTTCTGAGTGACAGAGTGAGGGCTTAGCATAGGCGATTTGTTGCGTTTTTTTGTGCTACTTGCTGTGCGGAAGCTGAGAGAAGAGTCTATGGCTTGGGTGGTTGGAGTCTTTAACGATTTTTCTGGGCCTTCCTTTCACATCGCCTGATGTAGAGGTCCTGGATCGCAGGGAGCTCAGTCCCAGTGAAGAACTGGGCTGTCCACACCACCCTCTGTAGGGTCACTTTCGTTTGCGGTTCTGAGTCTATTCCTCGAAAATGTCATTATTTTTTTTTTGTTCCCTGAACCAGTTCCAACCCTTGCCGAGAACTGAAATGCCTGGATAATATAGTCAATATAGGAAAAGATACACCACCCCAATCTCTACTCCTTTGTTGAAGATGAGGCTTTCTGAGCTGAATAGAAGGGATGGTGAGATGGAGGTAGAAAGTGAGAATTAAAATTTGAGCTGGCCAGGTTATCTAGGCCGAGACAGGTCCCCTCTCTGAGTGAATCATCGATAATTTACAACCATGGCTCCTGACGGCGTGAGGTAGGAGAGGTAACCCTCCTGGTCAACACAGGAATCAAACACCAACTAGCAACACGCCCTAAACGAATCTAAACGAATGACCACCCGGAAAAAATCTCAAAAAATTATATAATGAATGATGCATTAGGGCTGAGAATGAGAAATGCATTTACCAAGAACACAATGAGCTGCTGTAGCAACACTGTCATGGGAGGAAATACTGTAAATGCATTATGGCAATGGGCGAGAGATTAGTGATGTTATTCAATCTTGGGAGATGAAGAAACATCATGATTGTGGACATAATAGGACTTAATGAGACCGACCTGGAATTTGATCAAATAAAAACGTATTTTGTCTGCCTGTTTAAGTTCTTGCTGTGTGTCTGTGCTTAAGGAAGAGGGGATGAGGCCATCCAGCACCCGGTGCCCATCTTCTTCCATGTTAATAATGCATTTTTGATATGAGCCCCACATGAAATTTTTATCTCTGGAATATTAGCTCACCGAGGGGGAGATGCAAAATCAAATCAGTGGCCGTGATTAAGCGCGGGTGAAGCACATATCGACCCATTTAAATTCACATTAACCCTTCATCAAAATGTGTGAGGCATGGCACTGATGGCTGCCAGGATTTAGAGGTGTTATGTCTGTTTTGCTGGGAAAAGGTGTGATGTTCTCCCACATACATGCCTGTGGAAAGGAGAAAATGAGGGGGAGGGGGGAGAGGGAGAGAGGTAGCAAGTCTCTATAGGTTCGCTTCATCTGGTTAGTAGTTGTCATGTATAGATTAAGATATGTTTAAATGTATGTTTGATGTGAACTAATAATGTTAGATGTTCACATTAAACATAGATTGCAAATGATATGGGATTTCTTGTAGCCATTCCCTTTTTTTCAGATATTGTTAGCCGTTATTGAGACATGTTGCAGGCCTTCAGTGTTTGTACGTGTGTGTATGTTTGCTTATTCTTATTACATGCAGCACAACCGCATGGCACGCCATTCCAACACCCTATTTGGCATCCAAACTCTCTCTGCCCAATGAATATTTCACCTCCTGCCTGGATGATGCCTCTTAGCCTAAAACAAAGCCCTTGCTGCCTGCCTGGCTGGCTGATGGCGTGCCGAAACCCTTAATAATGTATCACCACCTCTTGTTCCCTCGCATGGCATCTAACATCTTCAGCAGATAATAAATTAAGCAATAAGGCCAGAGGGGGTGTGGTATATGGCCAATATACCACGACAAAGGGTTGTTCTTAAGCACGACACAATGCGGAGTGCCTGGATACAGCCCTTAGCCGTGGTATATTCGCCATATACCACAAACCCCCGAGTTGCCTTATTGCTATTATAAACTGGTTACCAATGTAATTAGAGCAGTAAAAATAAATGTTTTGTCATACCCGTGGTATACAATCTGATATACCACGGCTGTCAGCCAATTAGCATTCAAGGCTCGAACCACCCAGTTTATAATATATATATATTATAGTACCCACTACCTATTTTGCGTAAGTGGCAATAAACCATATTCAAATGCATGTGTCAAGGGGGACGGTGCTGTGGTGGTACTGAGTGGGCTCATGTAATTAAAGAGTGTGAATAAGTGTTAGGCTACACTCAACTGAACACCTTGGTGCCTCGGTGGGGGTGGTTGGACACCCTCAGCTGTCATTGACATAGATTGTTGCGCTCACAGGAAGAGGAAGAACACTAGGTCGGAATTAATGTGATGTATTAGACTACACTCCGTAGCAACGTATGCTAATTTTAGGGTAAGGGTGTTTTGTGGCAGAGTGGAGTAGTGGATTTGTCCTGGCTGGCTGTAGCTAAATGAAAATGAGCTGTCATTGAGGTGAACGAAAAAGTGCAGCTTTTTACTCTGGTGAATGGTCAGTAACAGACTGCGTTCAGATGTGATTACATGACATTACATTGACATAATGGCACGAGCAGTTGAATGGATCAATTGTTTTGTATGTCAGATAGGCAGAAGGGAAGGAAAGAAGGGGTAAAAAGGAAGGAAAGAAAACCATACTTTTGTGGCCATGCTATTTCCTCGTTATTAATGTGGCAGGCAGTTTAGGTGCTGTTTGTTTTTAATGTGCAGTAATTCAAAGGAAATGGCCGCCTTGGGGACAGCACAAATCTTCTGCCTCTCATCTCCTCGTTTCTAATAGAAAGCATGAATTTAGAATGTGGATTTTGTCCCACTAGTGTGGAGCATAAGGACCTCACACATGTCTCTCTCTCTGGTCTTTACTCGAGCGACAGAGGGGAGAGAGAAAGAGCGCTGAGAGAGAGCAGGAGAAAGAAAGAGCAGAAAGAGAGAGAGGAAAGAAGAGAGAGCGAGATGCGCGGAGCGAGAGCGCGCGACAACGAGCAGGCGGCGCGCGACCGGCGACTATCCGGACGCGACCGCGCGGTGCGGCGCGCCGTCGGAACAGCAGCGCGCGCGACGACGGGAGGGCGCGCGAGAGAGCGCGGGCAAAGGGAGAGAGGGAGAGGAGGAGGGAGAGGAGAGGAGAGAAGAGACGAGAGAGAGAAGGAGGCGAGAGCAGAGGAGCGGGGAGGAGAGGAGAAGGGACGGGGAGGGCGCGGAAGAGACGTAGAGCGTAGAGACGCGCGCACGCGAGTGAGCGAGAAGAAAGAGAGAGAGAGAAGGAGAGAGCGAGAGCGAGGCGCGCGAGAAGAGAGGTAGGCGCGAGAGAGGAGCGAGAAGAGCGCAGAAAGAGGAGAGAAGAGACAGACGAGGGAGACGCGAGAGAGAGCGGAGAGGAGAGCAGAGACCCGAACGAAGAAAGCGAGAGAGAGAGGAGAGAGAGCGGAGCAGAGCCGGAGAGAAGCGGAGGGAGACCGGAGAGGGAGAGCGAGTCGTAAGAGCGAGAGGAGAGAAGACCGCGATCTCAGCGGGGACCGCAGAGAGCGCGCGCGAAAGCGAGGGGAGAAGACGAGCACGCGGAGAGCGAGGGAGAGAAGCTAGCGACGACCGCAGCCCCACGCGCTCGACCGCAAACAAACGAGGCGCGGCTAACCCAATAGCGACGCGGAGAGAGCGTCCGAGCGACGCGCGCGCGCAACTACAGCGCGCGCGACGCGGCGAGCGCAGCGCGCCGCGCGCGACGTCGCGCGCACGCTGCGCGGAGCGACCGCGCGCGCCGAGAGCGCGGGCGTACCGACGCGCGCGCGCGCGAAGCGGCGCGCGCGCGGACCCGCGCGGGGCGCGCCGCGAGGCGAGAGCCTCGCGCTAGCCGACGCGAGCGCGCCGCGAGACCGAGGGCACTCGCGCACGCAGCGAACGCGCACGAGCGCGGCGCGCGCGCGACCGCGCGGCCGAGTACAGCTCGACCTCTCGCTCTTTCTACTCTCTCTCTCTCTTACCATCTCTACTGCTCTCTACTCTCTCTCTCGCTATACTCCTCTACCTCTCTCTCTCTATCTCTCTCTCTCTCTACCTCCTCCTCTCTCTCTATATATATATTTTTATGCAACTGTCTGTGTACATTAAGCATCAGTGTATGTGAGTGCATGTACGTGCATTGATGTATTGATGCATGAGTGCTTGTGTGTGTGTGTGTGTGTGTGTTTGAGGGGTGAGGGGTGAATCTGTACTCTCACATGCTCACATAATTCTATAGTGCCCTTTTTAAAACCAAAGGCCCCCCTTACTGTCCCCTCTATGTGGCTGTCGAGAGCGGGGATGGACAGAGGGAGAGTGGCGGCTGGGACGTGTTTGACAACCGACCCTTCAAAGGCGGGTGGCTTGATCCCAACGTTCAGGGGTCTGGGATGGGGCTGGGAGGGGGTTTGGGGGGAGCCTGTCACTGGGAGCAGAAAGGGGCTCATGAAAGACCCTGTCTGACTGACAGCTCTTTGTATCGCCGCCTTTTTGTCTCCAGCTCCTTCTAAACCCCTGAAAAAATTTTAAACCCCGGGGCTGTTTTTAAAATGAGGGGTTTGTATTAGTTCGTTTCCCCCTGTTTTCCCTCTTAATCTTTCCCCCCAACGGGTTTTGGTGGGCTTTTAAACGGGTTTCCCCAGGACCTGGGGTTTTCCCCCTGGGGCATTTAAAACCCCCATTATATTAGCTTTCTAGTTTTCCTTTTTGGGTGACACATTGAGAAAAAAAAAAAAATGAAAAAAAAAAACTGTTTCGTTTTTTATACCCTTTTCCCCAGACAACAAAAACTGAAACACTATTGTATTTGTCTTCAATTCCCCCCCACCCCCCCCTACCCACCAGCCATATTTTGGCCCCCTCCTGTGGCTGGGGGGTTTCATCCAATCTCCTTGTCTCCTACCTGGGGAACCAAGTCCTTACCCCCTCTGAAGAGAAGAAATGCGCCAATCTGAGGTCCGCCTCTGAGGACAATAATCCCATGGTTTGGGCTATTAACAGGTACCAGACTTGTTCCAAGACACGTAACCATCATCCCAGCTTCAGCTTTCTCTTGTGCCTTAACTAAACATTTCAACACAAACTGTTCGTTCCTTGAGCGCCCCAGACACAAAACTGAAACACTATTGATTGTCTTCAATCCCCCAGCCCCCCTCTCCTCCAGCCACATCTTTCTATTTGGCCCCTCCTGTGGCGGGGGGGTCATCCAATCTCCTTGTCTCCCTACCTGGGGAACCATGAGCTCCCTTACCCCCCTGAAGAGAAGAAACTGCCGCCAATCTGAGGTCCGCCACTCTGAGGACGAATCAGAGAGCCGGTAGAGCCAATTACCCAGCATGCTCTAATCCTCTCTCTCTCTCATCAAGAAATCACCGGTATAGTGTCAAAACGTGCCCCCAGTCAAGGCAGTCTGTTTCTCCACTTAAACCTTTCAAGAATGCGTCCCATTAACCTTCTACAGCACAGCTCAATGGCAAGGAGACGCTTTGCCAATGCCCCGGCAAGCAACGACACACACACTCACACACTTAGACATGCAAGCAAGCACACACCCACTCACACTCATCCCCTTACACATACACACATATGCTGACACACACACACACACACACCATGACACACACTTAGACAAACATACACACACACTCACCTCAATTACTGTTTCATTTATGGCCCGACAGCTGAGCATGTGCAAAATTAAATCTCCTGCCGGAATGGGGCCGGCCCATCTCACCTTGCGTCAAAACGCACTCATTTCCAATCCTCCCTCTAACCTTTTCATCTGGAAGGAAAGGCAACAGCGGGTATTAATGGGTGTGTGAGGCAGAATGCCATCAAAGCGGAAACTTAGTGAGACGTCCGAGTGTAGAAGAGCTACACATGTTAATCCCTCAGCAAACGTTAGGCCGCCCATCAACAGACACACACAGAGTCCCTCACACCCTACTCATTTGCTGAGCCACTCATTGGCTGAGCCACTTTGATATGAGTTAATGCATGTCTAACTTTGTGAACCAGTTTCTGCCTTAATATTGAATTGAGTATATCTGACATAATTCTGAATACTGGCCCTCTGGAAATCAATGGGCTGTAATGGAATATACATTTTTAATTAAGAGTTGTAGCCCTTTCTGTACTACCTCATGCTACCTACATTAAGCTGTACCCCCCAATAACTCATGAATACACTGGAAACAATGTAAAACATACTTTAACCCCTTACAAAAAAGATTGCAGTTTTGAAACTGCAGTAGAGGTGCAGTAACTGCAGTCGACTGTGGTATTGTGGATTAAGTAATTGCAGAATAACTGCAGTTACACTGCAAAATTACTGCAGTAAATTGTATTTATTTATTTTGGACGCAGCATACTGCAATTATACTGCACTCTAACTGCAGTTATACTGCAGTCTACTGCAGTTATAATGCACTCTGACTGCAATCTGTTTTCGTAAGGGACAGGATGGTGTTAAACCACCAAAACAACAAGGCCTTGTTATTTGCCCTGAAATCTGCAAATTGAGTTCCTGGTTAGAAGAAGACCAATGTTTTCCTGTTTTTCCAGCATGGGTTTTGTCCAAGTGGAGCGCCCATGGGCTTTAATCAGATCCTCCATGTCCTGTTCGATAAGACACTTAATTAATCAGAGAAAGGACCGACAGTCGGACGGAAACAGGACGGCCGAGATACTTCCTCTGCTCTCTATCGATAACAAAAAAAGAGGGAGGAAGCAAAAAGAGAGATGGAAGAAGAAAATAGAGAGAGAGAACAAAGCAAAGAGAGGGGAAAAATACAAAAGAGAGAGGGAAGAAGCACTGAGTAGAAAATAAGAAGTGCCTATGGCTTAGTCACAGTTTGTTCCCTCTACCTCTGAAAAGGCCATTTTAAAGGGGTCAAGTCTGTTGATGTCTGGGTCAGGTTTTGCCATTCCTCTCTGTGGCTAAAGTGAAGTACCATGTATAGGTGTTAGCCCTCAGGGTTGCTCACCTGTTAGCCTGCTAGCCTGCTAGCAGCACAACACTGCTTGCTCTCATTAAGGGAATGGGAATAGGCTGCTGGTAAAGTGGATTCCTTGGCTGGTCATTCTTCTCTGTGGCTAAAGTGAAGTATCATGTTTAGGTGTTAGCCCTCGGTGCTGCTAGCTAACCTGCTAGCCTGCTAGCTATACCACAGCACAGCTTGCTCCCATTCAGGAGAATAGAAGACGCTACTGTTAAAAAATGTATGCCTTGCCGTGGCTGCTTGTACTCCAGAGTGGCCCTGGGTTCGGCGGGCTAAAGGGTGTGATGAGATGTGATAGATGAGTGCTGGTGGGTGTCCAGACTCGCCGTATTGGAGAGACTGTACTGGCCCGCTGCCACCCTCTCTCCCTGGCTCTGCCCCTGCCAGCTGTGCCCCCACTAGCTAGCTAGAACCCTCGGGCGATACAGACCGCACACACGCACACACAAACACACACGTGTACACTTACACACTCACTGGTGTACACATATACACATTGGTATTCAGAAACACATCAGTGTACACAAACAAACAATAAAATGCCACTCTACAATGTGCAATTTTGTCACACAACACAATGCCACAGATGTCTCAAGTTTTGAGGGGGCGTGCAATTGGTATGCTGACTGCAGGAATGTCCAGCAGAGCTGTTGCCAGAGAATTGAATGTTAATTTCTCTACCATAAGCCGCCTCTAACGTTGTTTTAGTTAAATTGGCAGTACCCAGTTCTTCCATGGCTCTTCATGCCACCCATTGAGCATGTCTGGGAAGCTCTGGATCGATGTGTACGACAGCATGATGCAGTTCCCGACAATATCCAGCAACTTCGCACAGCCATTGAAGAGTGGGACAACATTCCACAGGCCACAATCAACAGCCTGATCAACTCTATGCGAAGGAGATGTGTCGCGCTGCATGAGGCAAATGGTGGTCAGACCAGATACTGACTGGTTTTCTGATCCACGCCCTTACCTTTTTTTAAGGTATCTCTGACCAACAAGATGTATATCTGTATTCCCAGTCATGTAAAATCCATAGATTAGGGCCTAATGAATTTATTTCAATTGACTGATTTCCTTATATGAACTGTAACTCAGTAAAATATTTGAAATTCTTGCATGTTGCGTTTATATTTTTGTTCAGTATATGTTGTCTAAATACATTTTCCCTCAGGGACATTAAAGTTAATCCTATCCTTTCCTACATTCCCTGGCATACACACACGCTGGCATGCATAGGCTACTCGTACTGTGCTGGCACACACATACAGTATTATCCACATACAAAAATCTAATCGCACAGATATGCATGACCACCACACACACATAGTTAAAAAGCGTGCTCTAACTGTATGTGTGAATGTGATTGTCATAATCACAGAGGCCAAGCTGTAGTTCACACAGAGTTGCCTGTGATAACAGTTGTGTTTCGTGACAGCTCACGAGCCACTGGTTATACATATTTAAATAATAACTGATACATAATTTCTAACACACATCCTCTCTCACTCTGTCTCTCATTCTCTCTCTCGCTTTCTCTCTTTCTCTCTGTTTACTGTGTATCTGTCTTTGTGTGTCGTTCTTACACCACTACAAACCAAATTGCCCAATGTTGGGACAATAAAGCTTTCTGAATCTAAATACGAATCTCTCTTTCGCTCCACAGCAACAGGAGCAGGACCCCACCAACCTGTACATCTCCAACCTGCCTGTGTCCATGGATGAGCAGGAGCTGGAGAACATGCTGAAGCCCTTCGGTCATGTCATCTCCACGCGCATACTGAGGGACGCCAACGGGGTCAGCAGAGGGGTCGGCTTCGCCAGGTATACCTGCTGGAACACACACACTCCGATGACAGATTCTGTTGAGCCTGAAGTGTGTGTGTGTGTGTGTGTATGTGTGTGTGTGTGTGTGTGTGTGTTTTTGTGTGTGGATGGGGAGGGGGGTGCATGTGTGTGGATGGGAAGTGTGTGTGCATGGGGCGGGGGTAGTGTGTGTTTGTGTGTGTGTGTGTGGGGGGTGGGGGGGGGTGGGGGGCGGGGTGCTTCCATGAGATATAGACACTAGTGTCTGCATATCATTAAGCTGTTTGTTTCGGCTCTATTTTCCTCCTGTAAAATGAGAGTTTACCCTCCTATCCCTTCAAAGTCATGTCCTCCTCATCCTCCACACAGCTCATATTTCTGTCCCCACAGCACAACACTCCCGGCTTGTTTACCCAGAGAACAACAACACCATCTTGCAGAGATTTCTCTTAATCAGCCCGTGCTGCAGTCCCCTCCTATTCCCCACTCTATTACAGTGGGTTACAGAAGGACAGGCAGACTCCTGCAGACCAACACACACCAACACAACAGCTCAGCGCAGGCTGCCACACTCCACCTGTTCAAGTGGGGCTGAGTGGGGAAGTAATATGATGGGGAAAGAGAGAGGAGAAGGGGAAGAAAGGAAGGAAGAGAGAGACAAAATAGAGAGATGCTGAGGGATACTTTTGAGAGAGACGAGGAGAAAAAAAGACGGGGAGAAAGAGGGAGTGAGCAAGAGAGCATGAAAGAGAGATGCAAAGGCAGAAGGAGAGAGCGAGTCAAGGGTGCATCCGAAATGGCACCCTATTCCCTATATAGTGCATATATTCCCTGGGATCTGCTTAAAAGCAGTGCACTACATAGGGAATAGGGTACCATCAATTTGAGATTTAAACAATCAGATCTTGAGACAGAGGGCCCCAGCCTCTAGTCCACAGATGTTGAGGGACAGAGGGGCATTAGAGAGAGTAAACATCGCTAAGTGTTTCTGCACTTCTCCATTACACCGTTATCAGAGCCCATTACTGGGGACCTCACAGCTAATGACTGTGGACATGATCACCTGATGTCATTAACCATCAGGCCTCCCTGCCTCACAGAGAGCAGAGAGGAGACAGAGCAGCCAGGAGGATGGGTGGCTGCCAGGGGCTCATCAGACCTGAGAGAGCAGGAGGGAGGGAAGAGGGAGATGGAAGGGTAGAACAGATGGAGAGAGAGAGAGAGAACAGGTTGTAACAGAGGGAGGAAGATGTGTATAGTGAGAGAGGTAAAGACTAGTTGTCATCCTGGATGGGTCTGATCCAACTGCTCACAGGAGAGATACATTTTCCCAGTTACAAATCAACCCCTAGTTCCACTCGTGACAGAAGTTCATTACCATATTGCATATAGTTAGTATAAAGTCCTTTCAGAGCTACACAGTGCCTACGGTAGGGCTAGGGGTTTATTTAGAATTGAGCAAAACAGAGAGGTTACCTCTGCTCTATGCAGATGCTCTCCTCTGGGACCTCTCTACCGTTGTGAATAGCAGGAGGGAAGGAGGGAGGGTCCGAACTGAGAGTGTGTGATTGTGTTGGTGTGTGTGTCTGGGACACGTGCGCCCCATTAGATCACTGGCAGCAGCGGTGGGTGAATGTGTGCAGGGCAGGCTATTAAAGGCCACTCACTGTGAAAAGGGCTCCGTTGACTCACCGTGCCACAATGAGACACAGGGACCTGACCCACTTACACTACAGGTCCCACTGCCAGAAAGCGAAAGAGGGCGGGCGAGAGAGGGAGAGGGAGGGTAACAGGGATAAAGACAGATGAGAAGATCGGTGAGAAAGATGGAGTAAAAAATTGGCAAGGGGGGGGGGGGGAAGGGAGGAAATGGATAGATGAGAGAAAGAGATGGATGAGGCATGAGAAAAAGATAGAGGGTAAAGAAGACCGGTAGGTCGGTATGGAAAAAAGGGGGGTGAAAGAGAAGGATGTATGGAGTAAGACAGAAAGGAAAGGAGGAAGTGATATAGAGTGAGCGAGAGAGAGATCATAGATCCCTTACAGGTACTTACGTATTTAGTTGATCAGTGGTCTGAGTCAGGCGGAGGAGGGGAGGGAGGATTTAATATGATGCTACTCTGTTCTCTGTAAATGAGATGAGTCACATTCGCACTGTGTGACTCCACTCCCTTAGTAACTCCACCACTCTCACCCTTCCTGTTCCATGACACACACAGACAGTCAACGCTCTCTCCAGTCTCTCATGTCCTATTAGTGCTCACTCCACTACCTTTCCTCAATTAGCCCAGGAGAATTTGGAAATCACTGTAAATCAAGGGTATACATCCTCAATTTGCCTCTTCATAAAATGACTCAGCCACATACTGTAGACACTCAACCAAGGAAAACAATAGGTGTTGTCATAGGGCCTAAGATCTACATTGGATCAACATAGAAAATGTTCCATGTATACTCAAATGTACTACATATATGATATGTCATGCTTTAGGTATTCACCATGTGTAATAGTTGTATTCTGCTAAGGCACTTCAGTAGATATGAAAGGACTTGTATGTTTTATATAGCATGTTTTACGTATTCATCATGTGTAATATTCCCACTTGTATTCATCTATCTATGTCCTTTTCCTTTTGCCACAGGATGGAGTCGACTGAGAAATGTGAAGTGGTGATACAGCATTTCAATGGGAAATACCTGAAAACCCCACCAGGCATTCCAGGTAAGAAGACTTCGCTCTCTGCTTAAACATTCATCTCACATCCTCTCCCTGAAAATCACCCCTTTTCAGAGAAACCCTCCCTCCCTACCTCCGAAACCCTCCGTCCTGATTCAGTTATGTCAATTGCAGCGACTCAACTTTCCCCTCCTTGAGAGATTGTGTACAATCACATTTCTGACACACGAAGTGAGCGTCGTCACTAGCACTCGCCTCCCATTCCAAAAGGGCCTCCCTGGATGTCCGCTGACTGTTGAACTCAGGAGCTTCTAGGGCAGCCAAAGTACTCTTAATATTCACACTGCGGGCCTCTCTGCTGCGCCGAAATCTACTTAAGAGCTGCCTTTCCAGCACCCAAACTGCCAAGGGAACCAAGAGAGAGAGCGAGAGAAAGAGAGTGGGGAGTTGGAGAAGCAGAGGGAATCAGAGAGTGGGCTGCCTCAGCAGTTTTTAGGCCAGGTGCAGTGGTGCACTAAGACCCCTGTTCATTTCAATAGGGACCTGAGGGCAGAAGAGTTTCTGTGGAGGCCTCACCGGGCCCGCTGATGGTTTTATTGACAGTGTGAATACTCATACACTAGGATCCACAGGGACACAGCACGGACTGCCCTTAGAATATAGTCCCTTACAGTATAGTCACCATAGAGACATGTTTTAAATTGCCCATACAATCACTCAGCCCACTGCATAGGCTATCCCACTAGCCATTAAAGGCAGGGGCGTATATGGGGCTGGGATGTAATGGGAAACCTTTAAAGTGCTAATATCACACTGACCTTCCCCTTTAAGTGTCCCCTCCCAGGTGCTTGGGACTATTATGGTTTATAGATTCTAAAGAAAGGTGCCAACGGACAAGATTTTTCAGCGATCAAGTAGAAATTAGTCTTTCTATAGTGCCTTCAGAAAGTATTCATAAACCCATGACTTATTCCACATTTTGCTGTGTTACAGCCTGAATTCAAAATTAATTAAATACCCCATAATGACAAAGTGAAAATATGTTTTTAGAAATATCTAATTTATATAAGTATTCACACCCCTGAGTCAATACATATTAGAATCACCTTTTGCAGTGATTACAGCTGTGAGTCTTTCTGGGTAAGTCTCTAAGAGCTTTGCACACCTGGATTATACAATATTTGCACGTTATTCTTTTTAAAAGTCTTCAAGCTCTGTTGGTTGTTGATCATTGCTAGACAGCCATTTTCAAGTCTTGCCATACATTTTCTAGACGATTTATGTCAGAACTGTAACTAGGCCACTCAGGAACATTCAATGTCATCTTGGTAAGCAACAATATTTGGCCTTGTGTTTTAGGTTATTGTCCAGCTGAAAGATGAATTTGTCTCCCAGTGTCTGTTAGAAAGCAGACTGAACCAGGTTTTCCTCTAGGATTTTGTCTGTGCTTAGCTATATTCCGTTTCTTTTTATCCTAAAAAACGACCTAGTCCTTGCCGATGACAAACATACCCATAACATGATCCAGCCACCACCATGCTTGAAAATACGATTATTATTATTATGATTATTATGATTATTATTATACAAAATGTCATGCTTGAAAATATGAAGAGTGGTAGTCAGTGATGTGTTGTGTTGGATTTGCCCCATAACGCTTTGTATTCAGAGCATGAAGTTAATTTATTTGCCACATTTTTGCAGTTTTTCTTGAGTGCCTTATTGCAAACAGTATGCTTCTTTTCACTCTGTCATTTAGGTTAGTATTGTGGAGTAACTACAATTTTGTTGATCCATCTTCAGTTTTCTCCTATCACAGCCATTAAACTCTATAACTGTTTTAAAGTCACCATTGGCCTCATGGTGAAATCCCTGAGCCGTTTCCTTCTTTAACCAGTCTCCTCCCCTTCATCTACACTGATTGACGTGGATTTAACAAGTGACATCAATAAGGGATCATAGCTTTCACCTGGATTCACCTGTTCAGTCTATGTTATAGAAAGAGCAGATGTTCTTAATGTTTTGTATACTCAGTGTACATTTGATTGTCATGCTTATCGGTCTATAGGTTAATTAGCATAATTTAGTGGAATTAAATTGGCCTGTGTGTATTTTTGTTAGTCATCATGTATGTTATTTATCCAACACAACTATCACACGCGCACAGCATACAGAGCCTATTTTTAGCAGGATTTATCCTGCAGCTCCTCAGCTGGTTTCTGCTGGAGTAAAACATGTGCTTTTATAAGCCCATTCATTGCGCAATAATTCTAAATGCAATCGCATGTTAAAAACAGTTTTGGTGCATGATTAAAAGGAGCTACTATTTTTTTTTCTCAACTGGTAATTGAAGCGTGCCTCCCATTCACCTTTCAAGTGCAGGCAACAGGCTATCAGCGCGTCACCAACCACTTTACAATGTGAGCTGGAGGCAGTATGCATTTTGAAAACATACTTAAATTGTTTAAAACCTGAATGTTTTATTTCATATGAGGCATGTCTTACCTTGCTTCAAAGTAGGCTATAGGCAAAATACCACCATGGAAACGTGGAGGCAATTATTTTATAAAAACTTCATCGGCAGCATGTGAGTTTCAAGTTTGTGGAAGTTTATAATTTATTACATTTTAGTAATTTAGCAGACACTCTTATCCAGAGCGACTTACAGTTAGTGAGTGCATACATTTTTCATACTAGTCCCCCGTGGGAATCGAACCCACAACCTTGGCATGGCAAGCGCCATGCTCTACCAACTGAGCTACACGGGACTGTATCCTACCATTTCTACCATTCTGCATGCCAGTTATGATTTTCATGTGCACATTTTCGTGGAACAGTTTCATTTCAATAATAACGTTTTCGTTTCTCAAAATCATTGTTATGTGGTTAATCAAACAATCGGAATTCAAATGGTATAAATAAAAAAGTTAAAAGTCAACTAATGCGAGATCACCAGCCTCTGCCATATGGACACATTGATACACCGTGATCCATTGGCGGCTAAAGAAATGAGCGCATGTAACTGATAGCCTATAGGCCAATGCAGCAGTAGGCCTATAACTCCCACTGCTCTTTCACACAGAGGATTGGTGATTATCAAGGGGGAGATTGTTGGAAAGATTTTTCAAATAGCTTACCTTGAGGAACTATAGTTTTAATATACAGTACCAGTCAAAAGTTTGGACACACCTACTCATTCCAGGGTTTTTCTTTATTGTTGCTATTTTCTACATTGTAGAATAATAGTGAAGATATCTAAACTATGAAATAACACATATGAAATCATGTAGTAAACAAAAAGTGTTAAACAAATCAAAATATATTTTATATTTGAGATTCTTCAAAGTAGCCACCATTTGCTTTGATGACAGCTTGCACACTCATGGTATTCTCTCAACCAGCTTCGTGAGGTAGTCACCTGGAATGCATTTCAATTAACAGGTGTGCCTTGTTAAAAGTTAGTTTTTTTGAATTTATTTCCTTCTTAATGCGTTTGAGCCAATCAGTTGTGTTGTGGCAAGGTAGGTGTGGTATACAGAAGATAGCCCTATTTGGTAAAAGAACAAGTCCATATTATGGCAAGAACAGCTCAAATAAGCAAACAGAAATGACAGTCAATCATTACTTTAAGACATGAAGGTCAGTCAATCCGGAAAATGTCAAGAACTTTGAAAGTTTCTTCAAGTGCAGTCGCAAAAACCATCAAGCGCTATGATGAAACTGGATCTCATGAGGACCGCCACAGGAAAGGAAGACCCAGAGTCACTTCTGCTGCAGAGGATAAGTTCATTAGACTTACCAGCCTCAGAAATTGCAGCCCAAATAAATGCTTCACAGAGTTAAAGTAACAGACACATCTCAACATCAACTGTTCAGAGGAGACTGTTTGAATCAGGCCTTCTTGGTCGAATTGCTGCAAAGACACCACTACTAAAGGACACCAATAAGAAGGGCCAAGAAACACGAGCAATGGACATTAGACCAGTGGAAATCTGTCCTTTGGTCTGATGAGTCCAAATTTGAGATTTTTGGTTCCAACCACCATGTCTTTGTGAGACGCAGAGTAGGTGAACGGATGATCTCCGCAAGTGTGGTTCCCACCGTGAAGCATGGAGGAGGAGGTGTGATGGTGTGGGGGTGCTTTGCTGGTGAAACAGACTGTGATTTATTTAGAATTCAAGGCACACTTAACCAGCATGGCTACCACAGCATTCAGCAGCGATACGCCATCCCATCTGGTTTGCGCTTAGTGGGACTATCATTATTGTTTTTCATCAGGACAATGACCCAAAACACACCTCCAGGCTGTGTAACGGTTATTTGACCAAGAAGGAGAGTGATGGAGTGCTGCGTCAGATGACCTGGCCTCCATAATCACTCAACCTCAACCCAATTGAGATGGTTTAGGATGAGTTGGACCACAGCGTGAAGGAAAAGCAGCCAACAAGTGCTCAGCATATGTGGGAACTCCTTCAAGACTGTTGGAAAAGCATTCCAGGTGAAGCTGGTTGAGAGAATGCCAAGAGTGTGCAAAGCTGTCATTAAGGTATAGATTGGCTACTTTGAAGAATCTAAAATATTAAATATATTTTGATTTGTTTAACACTTTTTAGGTTACTATGTGCTATTTCATAGTTTTGAATGAGTGGGTGTGTTCAAACTTTTGACAGGTACTGTATTATCATCCGCAATGTAAGTAAAAAAAAAAGAATAAAAAAAAAAAACTCCTACATTTCCGCACAGCAGGCCAGGTTCTTCTATGGGAGCTCAGGTTCGTGTGCTCCCTAAACATTATCAGGACAGAGACACATGCTCAATGCTCAAAAGGAGCATTCCAAACAAAAGACAATGAACAAATTTACAAATCTTGTAAATGATGGTTATGAAATAAACCAAAAAGTGTACCAGATTGTGAACTCCGCAAATGTTTTCACTTCAAGAATGAGAACGGTAAATCACTGTAATTAGTACATACATGAACAGAAATTAATGTAACCAAATGACTGGGATTATCCACAGCAATTTTTTTAAAGAAGCTAATGATCCTCGATTCCTCTGTGGCTAAGTCATTTTGAATGATTTTATTTATTTCTGTATAGACAGGAGTAATTATATAATTTTTGCAAATGTATTTCCATTTACTTCCCCATTGGACCCAACGCTATGCTGTTTCTCTCCTGGTCTATTGGTTTTCATATCAACTTTATTTTCGTTGTCCAGAAGCCAAAGGCACAATCCTAGTCATATTAGCAACCCATCCTAGTTGTTGCATATTTAGATTCCCCCTCTTTCTAAGTTTCTAACAGAGATTTTCATCTCTGTCACATATGGAACCGCTATCAGATGGGTCCGATAAATTTCTCAAATGGCCGGTAAATTAAAATCTTCCCGGTCACGTTGTCCAGCGCCACACCATGCAAAGTGTAATTAATAACTTCACCATGCTCAAAGGGATATTCAAATGTCTGCGAGGCATTGAAAAACCTCCCTGGTCGGTCTTTGTGGTTGAATCTGTGTTTGAAATTCACTGCTTGACTGAGGGACCTTACAGATAATTGTATGTGTGAGGTACAGAGATGAGGTAGTCA